GAGCTTTGCAAGGCTCATAGTTTATAGGGTTCGGGCCTGAAACACGCCTACTACCGGGGTCGTTGGGGCTCGAAGCTCCGACCAGGCGGCTCGGCTGTTGGCGCAACTCCAAACAGCGGCAGCACCAGGAATCAGGAAAAATGCGACGTCAGGTGCTGGGGTTCTTTCCCAAAAGAGCTTCAAACGGCCCCATGTAGGTATCATGCAGGCATGCAAAGGAGAATTATTTGTATGGAGCCTCCTAACGTTTGGCATCGTGAGCTCTCGACGAGCCTGAAGCCCAAGCCAAGGGAAATTCTGAGGCGGCCTAACCATAAACCCTAAATCCAAAATCCTAAACCCTAAACCCTAAACCCTAAACCCTAAACCCTAAACCCTAAACCCTAAACCCTAAACCCTGTCCGGACCTCGCTTGGACACCGAAAGGTCGGGTGCCGGGTCATCCCTCCTCTTTAGGGTTTAGGGTTTAGGGTTTAGGGTTCAGTGTTTATAGGTTTAGGGTTTAGGGTTGGGGTTCCCTTATAATCCCCTTAAAGCCAAAAAGAAGGGTACCCGTTTTATTCCTAGGTCACTCCTGGGTCTAGAATAAGCATCTTGGATGGCTTTAGAACTATTCAAGGATTAAGCATGATTAAGCGGTGCCCCGAAGAGGGGTACACCGCCTAGCCATCGCGAGTCTTCCACCGCAAGGCGCACCAGGTTCCGTTACAAGGCAACCCTTTGGATTCCTTTAAGTCGCGGCTTCAGACTCCTTTAAGATCAAGCCAGCAACACACGCGTGGCCTGTGGCGGCATGGAGCACCCCATGTCCGTGCAAACGCCGAGATGGAGCCCAGAGTCAGAGTGGCGAGCTCCGTTTCGGCCTTCGTTTCCTGTCCGTGATGTAAAGCTTGCGTATGCAGCGCACTGCATGCGAGAAGGCGCCATTGATTCCAGGCACGACTGCAAATGACTGGCAGCATGGGCTTACATCATTGCAGAGCTTTAGTGACAGTTCCATCCGGAGGAGCATCGCCACATATGGGTCAGCAATCAACACATGTCGGGGGGGACATCAGTGGCCTCTGGCCGTGACGGTGCTTGGGGAGCTTGGCAGAACTGGCCTTGAGAGATCGGTCATCGTCTACAACTCAGCCATCACGGTCTGCTCGGGAAGATCGTGGCCCGCAGGGCTGGTACTGCTTTCAGAGCTTTGTGCACTCAGCTTGCAGATGAGCGCGCCATCAAGCGGAGCAGTGATTTCTGCGTGTGGTGCTGAAGAACGATGGCAGGAAGCACTGCAGCTGTTGCAAACCTTCTACGCCTCCAGCATGGAGCCAGGGACCATTTCCCAGAATTCTGCGATGAGTGCCTGTAAGACCCCATTTGCATGGCCGCTCTCCGTCGATCTCCTCCATAAAATGCACCAACAGCACCTTCAGGCTTCACCTGTCACGTACAACGCGTGTATGAGTTCATGGTTTCTTGGGGAGCGCTGGCAGGCGTCGTGTTCATTGCTGGCCAGGATGCAGGAGCGATTTCTGCAAGGAACGGTGGTGTCCTATGGCGCGCTGCTAGAGGCAATGGGCCTGCGTGGGTGGCAACATGCTTTGGGATGCCTTGCGGACCTCAGCTGCTCAGGCTTGCAAGGGAACGTAGTCACCTGCACTGCTGCGATTAGTTGTGAGGCCCGGGGCCAGTGGCAGCGTGCATGCGATCTACTTGCAGAGTGTTCTACCAGGCAGATTCGAAGGAACCTCCAGGCTTTCAATGCTGCCATCACAGCTTGCGAGAAGGACCGCCGCTGGGAATCTGCGCTGCACTTGCTGGAGGAACTGCAGCTTCAGCGGATAAGGGCAGACGTGATTTCTTACAACGCGGCGATAAGTGCTTGCAACGCTGGCGGAATGTGGCAGCAGGCGCTTGATCTACTCGTGCGCGTCGATTCCTGCATGATTCAGGCGGACACTAGGCGGGATCTTGGCCGTCTGTGAGAGGCGTTCACTCTTGCTGGGCGTGAAAAACGGCGGGTGTGCCAGTCACAAGTTCGGCCAGATCCATGATCTAAGGACAGGATCACCTACAATGCTGCCATCAGCGCATGCGAAAAGAATCAGGAATGGCAACAAGCCTTGCTACTTCTCGCGCAGGCTGAACGACGGCGCCCGCAGGCTTTAATGAAACTCAAGGGACCAGGGGTTCCCGCCTTCATACCTGGGCTCGCGGGTTGCTTTCAAATGGGGCTCCCTTTTGAGATTGGGGGGGGGTTGGGAGGGGGGGATCCTTCTCGTAAATCTTATCGGTTGTGGGAGGGGGTTTTTGTTTGAAGCACCCCGTAAGCCCATCTAGAATCGAGACTGCTGGAATCTGAGGTATGCAGCTGGGCATCATCACCTACAACGCGGCCATCAGCGCTTGTGAGAAAGGTCCGCGGCCTTAGCTCCGGATCAGTCAGTCAGTCTACAAGTTACGGTGGCCTCACCCTAAACCCTAACCCTAAACCCTAAACCCTTCACCCAAAACCGCTTCAGTGGCTGAAGGTGAGCAGTGGCAGCTGGCGCTGCACTTGCTTTGCGAGGCATCCCGGCAGCGTGACTTGGCCGGAGGGAGGCTGGGTTCCCCGGTGACCTTTAGGGGGTTCTCCGGGAACTTAGGGTCCTGGCTATAGGGTAAAGGAGTCTAGGGTCTAGGGTTTAGGGTTCAGGGTTCAGGGTTTAGGGTTTAGGGTTTAGGGTTTAGGGTGGGGAGGTTGCCCCTTATACTAACGAATAGGGACCATCATAGGGCATACTAGAACCATGATTAGGGACTGTTAGTATAAGGAGGAACATCCCAAACTGAGGGTTAGTGCACTTCGCAGTTACAGTAGGCTTTGATGCCAGACCCACCGCTTGTGTGCGATCATGATAGGAAGCAGGAAGCACATGACGTCGGGTCGCATGTACCCGCTGAGAACCATTCTTGATCCCAGCACATAAAACTAGGCAGTGTAGGGAAACCATCTTGAGCCTTAGCTCGTTGCATTTGCAACCCTAAGCCCTAACTAAAACCCTAAGCCCAACGGACCCATTATGAAGATCATGAGGTGTTGCAAGGGGTGCGGAACCGCCCCCTCCCCTCGCTTGCGGATGCCCAGGTCTGAGGCCTCAGCGCACGAGCTACAATGCGGCAGCCAGCGCCTGCGCCAAGGGACTGCAGTGGGGCGAGGCCATCGGCCGAATCGGAATTTTGTGTCTTGAGTGGGTTTCTTGCCCCAAAGCTGTAACATGCCAAGCGGAATCAAGGAGGGTCCCATAAACTCCCAAACCCCACAAGACCCTTAAGCCCCGAATCAAGACCCCCTGCCCTCCAATTAAGACCCCTAAACCCTCAATGAAGGCCCCTAAGGCCCTAAGACCCTAAACCCCTAAAGCCTAAACCCCAAAACTTTGATCCCTAACCCACTCAACCCTCAAAGACAAAAGGGTTAGGGTTTAGGGTTCAGGGTGTAAGGATCAGGCTTTATGAGGGTTTAGGGTTTAGGGTTTAGGGTTGAGGGTTGAGGGTTTAGAAACCCCAAGCTCCCAAAAGGGCAAGCCCATCTGGAGGCGCAGCTTTTGCTGGACCTGATGGGGATGCAGGGACTGGAGGAAGCTTCCGCAGGGTTTTGTTCTGCGGTGCCGAAGTGGAACCAAATGTTCGGGGTTGAGAGGACTAGCCTTTATACAGCTAAGTTTAAGGACGTAGAATCCTAGTTATACATCACTTCAGGGATGGTATATCTCGGGGTGCATTGAGCTTTTCTGGGTAGGCATGCTGTACTGACAGACTTCTTGGCCCACGTTTAAGTCCCGACGTGATGGGAGTTCTCGTGCTGAGGTTCTGTGCACTTACCGGAAACAGCTCTCTTTTGACCCATACGAAGCCCCAAATCCATCTCAAGCCTGAAAACATCTTGACACACTTAGCCTGAAGCCCGAATTCTGAACTCGCAGCCCAAGACCCTGAAGCCAACCCTAAACCCTAAACCCTAAGCCCTAAGCCCTAAATCCTAAACCCTAAACCCTAAACCCTAAACCCTAAACCAAAGCTTTTCAAGCAAGCTCGTCCCTAGGGCGACGTCATCTCGCTGACCGCGGCCATCACCGCCTGCCGCCTTTGGTGGCCCCGGGCCCTTGCGCTGCTTTCCAGGCGGCTTCTTACGCTTTTAGGGTTTAGGGCTTAGGTGGAAAGATCTGGAAGTTGATCTGACTGCCGGCCCTTGCTCAGGTGGCGTTTCGAGGGCAATTCGGCAACCTACGCCGAAGCAGACGCCCGTCCCGGTCAGTCCAGCCTTGCTGTTGATGGAAGTACTCACGGGGTTTAGGGTTTGGGGTTTGGGGTTTAGAGTTTAGGGTTTAGGGTTTGGGTTTAGGGTGTGCTGCTTAGCCTTTATGAGTCAAGGTCGCAGCCTGCCAGCTGGATGAACAGTGGAGTGTCACCAGCCAACTGCTGAGTCTGTTCCGAGAGGGCTCCCGCTGGAGGTGGTTTTCGCATGTGCGCAAAATCTCCGTTTGCACTGCTTGCTGCACTCAACACAGGAGGCCTGAAAGCGTGACCTTCGAACCAGTAGAGCTACAGCGGCTCTGCGACTGAGTAGAGCCCAAAGATCCTGGCAACATCTTGCAGCGAAGAACTGTAAGAACCCCATGCCATGCTACACGCCCTTGAACCTTTGAGCTCCCTCAGAAATTTCCCTCGAGCTCGCTGGGAAAGACCCCACCCCAAACCGTTAAACCTTAACGACCCAAAAGGCCAAAACAAGGAGCCGGATTGCTTCAGCCCTACAGCCCCCACAGCCCCAAGCCCAACAGATGAAAAGGCCTTTGCATCAAATAAGCCTTATTCACCCTAAACCCTGCAACTTAAATACGACCGGCAAGTTCTAACCCCTAAATACCCTAAACCCTAAACCCTAAACCCCAAACCCCAAACCCCAAACCCCAAACCCCAAACCCCAAACCCCAAACCCCAAACCCTAAACCCTAAACCCACAGCCGCAGGGATGCGGGCTTTGGCCACTGCAGCCTCTGGTGCTGAAGCTGGCGCGCCTGGCGGCCCGCAGCTCGGGGGGGAGTGGTCTGGGCTTGATTTGTTTTAGAGGTTTGGGGTTTAGGGTTTAGGGTTTAGGGTTTGATTTTTTTGGGGTTTAGGGTTTAGGGTTTGATTTTTTAGGGTTTTAGGGGCTTAGGGGTTTGGGGAGAGTGGCCTGGGGTTGAGAGCTTTCGGTTTTAGGATGTTTAGGATGTTTTTAGGGTTTTAGGATGTTTTTAGGTTTTTTTGATTTTTAGGGTTTTAGGATGTTATTTGGGTTTGAGGATGTTTTTAGGGTTTTAGGGTTTTAGGGTTTTAGGGTTTTAGGATTGTAGGGTTTTAGGGGTTTAGGGGTTTAGGGCTTTAGGGTTTTAGGGTTTAGGGCTAGAGTTTTGGCCTCCAAGCCCTAAATCCACGAGCCCTCGCAACCTGAGAACTACGTCGGCGGCATGAACCCTTCTGAGCTGAGCTTCATGCTCGGGCTCCTCTGCCAGGCCAGAGGGGCGGGCAAAGGGAGGGCGGAGACGTTGCTTTGGGGGGGGGGGGGGGGGGTGGTGGTTTAGGGTTTAGGGTTTCGAGGTTTAGGGTTTAGGATTTAGGGTTTGGGGTTTAGGGTTTAGGGTTTGGGGTATTTTGGGGTTTAGGGCTGTGAGGGTCTAGGGTTGTGGGTCTCGGGCTTCGCGAGCAGCTGCGAACCTGGCTGTGTTACCATGTTCAAGGACTGCCAGTTTGTGGGCACCTTTGCTGGTGTATTTAATACACTGTATTATGGACTCGGAGTAGACCCCTATTCCCCCTTTTTTTTAGGGTTTAGGGTCTCTTATCATCCCCTTTACAACAAAAGGGCACCCTCTTCATACCTGGGTTACTCTTGGGTCTAGTTTACTCATGGCAGCAGGAAGTACTTCTTCGAGTACCTAGGCTTCAGAGCGTGGGCTTTCTTGGAGTTCAGGGGAGGGCCACACCCACAGTGTGGGCGTTGACTGCAAAATTATGATCTTACTAGAGTTCTTTGTGGGAGTTGGGGAGCTAGGTACCTTAAATGCCTGCATAGAACTTTGAAATGGTTGTTATCAGCTAGCTGCATCCCAAATTCTCTGTTAAGAAGCTGTAAGAATCAGCAAACCTTTGGGCTTCCCCCTAAACTCTATACTGTAAACCCGAAACCGCGTAGACCCTAAACCACCATAAGCCCTAAACCCTTAAACCCTAAACCCCCCTAAGCCCTAAACTCCCCCCCTGATCCCTACTTACGAAGCCTCCAGGAAGGCGCCAAAAACTTCGAGATCATCTCGGCGCTGGACACGGAGCAGCCGCTTTTGAAGCTGCGCTACCACCCAGGCTTCTGGTTTGCAGGTGTTTGTTTTTGTTTAGGGTTTAGGGTTTAGGGTTTAGGGTTTAGGGTTTAGGGTTTAGGGTTTAGGGTTTAGGGTTTAGGGTTTAGGGTTTAGGGTTTAGGGTTTAGGGTTTAGGGTTTAGGGTTTAGGCTTTTAAGGCTTTAAGGTGCTTTGGAGGGGGGGCTGGTCTTGGAGGGCTTTGAGGCTTGTGCTTTACAACGGTGGTTGGCACTTTGCGGCTTATGGTCTTCACTGGCTTCGGGCTGCTTCAGGGGCGTCAGTTGTAGGGGTTAAGGTGGATCGTTTAGGGTTTTAGGGCAGGCTGCCCTACGGGCAGCACACAGGTGCGGCTTCGGGCCCAGGAATAGGATTGAGAGCAACACTCTCAACTCCTGCCTGGTCAGCCAGTTCGTGAGTTCAGGGCGCGCGATGGTCCCTCAAAGGACTAAGAACCTCAGCATATATTCCGCAGTGGCCATTGACACGTGATGCGACATATGTGTGGGGCTTTACGAAATGAAGGCACGCCTGATACACACCCCCAAATAGTAGGATTCCCTTACACTAAGGAACCCCCATGTCGACTCGCCATGAGAAGAGCAGAGCATGCGAGCTTGAGCGGAGTAGACTTGCTGCCTTGCCAGACTTCCGACATCCCCTCGTGGCAAACAACGCTCCAGACTGGGTGGCTGAGATGTTCGCGACTGCAGAGGAGGTGTGGTCAGCTCTGCTCATCAAGGGTCCCTGAGTACCTGAGCAACTTGCCCCGCATATGTACAAGTAACAGAAATTCCTTTGGAGGGCCTGCTCGTTGAAGTTTAAGATTTACGGTCAGGGTTTCGTTGTGTTTTACTTGTGCCAAAGGACGGCATGAAACACACCAGCCCGTGCAGCAGCAAAGTTATATGGTCGACTCAATGTCTCCATGCCCTGGCCAACTCGCACGAAACCGGTCAAGCCCACAACCATTTGTTTCATCCAGACAGGAGTTGCCCTCCACGCCGTCGGGATGCACTACGCTGCTGTCTTGCAACCTCCGATGCGAGGAGGCCCACGGGATTGCAGAGTCCTGGAAGCTCTTAAAAGAAGGCTTTCGTTTCATCCGATGAAGAAGAAGTTTGCAACGGGATGCGCGGGGTGCTCGCGAGCAGCTCCGGCAGGGCTAGAAACTTTAAAGAGGGTATAACAGCGGTCGTCAGGATTAGTTCCATTTTCAGAGCCCCTTCAAAACTGCCGGAACGCATACGACACAGACAGATTACTGTACTGTGAGCTTTTGATGAGAGGGTCCGAACCAAAACAGGGGTGCTTCTCAAATTGTGGACACGTTAGTGTTTTTGTCTGTCTATCTTCTTTGCTGCTTTTTCTTTTCGCTTGCAGCGGGTACATTCTGCAACCCGAAAACACATTGGGGGTTGCATTCCCACTATGGAATTCGCATTCCGACCCTGCTAAAAGCTGCTGGGTACTCAGACGTCCGAGGGCTGCAAGGTTGAAAGTTTACGATTTACTTGGTGCCTCACGCTCCAGAGTTTGTTCTTTGTTTCTTTTTTGTGGGGGGGGAGGGGCGTGAAGTGGGACTGTGGTTGAGGGTTCAAGGGTCCATCAATGGCGTAACCGGAGATGCTCCGAATGAGTGAGGTGGTTTATGAGAGTGGAGACCTTGTAAGAGCGGAAAGACCTGGCCAACCTTTCAGGATGTCGACTGCTTGCGCTTCAGTTTTCAACCATCCGATCCCTGACGTGCTTGACCTTACTGCAGCATGCTCGCTATAAGCCTTGAGGCCTTGAGAGCCGTGTCCAGATTCTATAGCTGAAGAGACGAAGCGACCCGAAACCACACCCCAAGACCCCCGAACCCTCTTAATGCAACCTAGCAGAAACATAAGGTCAAAATGCTCAAACAGAACACACCAAGTTCTAGCAGAACCTCCATGGCCCTAAACTCCTTTCCCAGTCGCTGGACACCCGCCTCTTCGATCTGATGGGCAAGGAGGCAGAGAGGGCGCCTCGGCTCGCGCGGCGGAGGCGCGGCGAAGAGTTTGGGTCTTTTGGGCCGAGGCCGGGAGGTGTAGCTGCTGGCTGCTGAGGGTTTGGGGGCTCGGGTTTTTGTGGTGCTCCGGTTTTGGGTTTGGGTAGAGGTCAGGACAGGGGTTGCTTCCCATCACTTGCACAGGAGGCTGCGCATGTCAGCTCCGAATCCTTGAGTCGTAGAAAGCTGGCTTTGACATGCCTTGGGAAGTGAGTTTCGCGTTCACTTGCAGGCTCATGGAACTCACTGGCTGGTTTTAGCTCCTACGTTATGATCCCCTTAACTGGCCTTGTCTGTAGTGATTATGAGTTGGCGTATCAGTTACCCCAATTACGACCAGCGAGTCTGTCCTATGAAGCTGCAAAGTAGGGCACTGGAGGCCCACAATTTGTTGTTTGTTTTTTTTTTTTTTTGGGGGGGGGGGGGGGGGGGTTCCGAAAACAGGGTTTGTTTGGGGGTATATAAGAATCCTTACATGCAACAGGCAATCCTCACAAAGCCTTCGGCGAAGGTGGCAGAACCGCTTGCTTCGGCAATTCGTTACGTGCCTGCCCCAGTCTGAGGCACCTTGTGCTGGTGATTGACACTGTATTGCCGTGGAAAGCAGTTCGGCACATTATATTTTTATTACGATTATTATTATTAGTAGTATTCATAACAATATTACAAATAATAAGAATAATACAGACCGGTCAGGCAGGCTGAGTTTCTTCAAGCAGCTGCTGTCATAGCAACGATTTAATTCTCCGTTCTGCTTGAAGTCGCTGGTGGCCTTCACAAGATGGAGTTTGAACTGCACTTTCCGATGTTGTCGGCTCGATGCTAGTCACTGAGAGTACTGAGTCCCGCTGCCTGCGCATCCCGCGATCCAGGGCCCTAAACCCTAAACCCTAAACCCAAAACCCGAATCCCTCATCTTTTGCCGAGTAAAGTAGGGCTTAGGCTGCACACAGGGCCACGAGGACCCAGCACCACGTGCCAGAGGTACGAGCCGGACATCCTTTGCTTGCAGCAGGTGGAGGCCTATATTATGCTCAAACCCGAAACCGTAAACGGCCTAAATTATTAGGGTTTAGGGCTTAAGGTTTCGGGTCTACGAGGCACCCAGCGAAGAAAACTCAGCTTAAGCTTGAGTTTGGGTTATTCGAGACTTGTGCTGCAGGCCGACATCACCGCTCCGCTCACTGGAGCGGAGTTTTTGGAGACAGGTGCTCCTGCCGTCAGCTAGCTTCCGTGATGACTCCTATCCCTATAAGGCTCTAAGCCTTAGAGACTCTATTGACTCTTGCTTTTACGGTTTTTGGGCCCAAAGGCCTTCTTATGTAAGGTTCTTGGACTATTTTGAGCCTAAGGGTATGAGTGATCAGTTCAACAGCTGTTGCATGGCTTTGGGTTGCTTGGCAGGGAATGAGGGAATGAGGTACCCTATATCCCCCTATATATACCCTCCAAGGGATTATATAGGGTACCTCGTTCCCTCGTTCCCTACTAGCCAACAGTAATGTGGTGCCGCAGGTGATGCAGCTGCTCACGAGCTCGACCTCCACTCAGCGAGATGTGCTGAAGCCCATGCTGTGGCCATCGTGTCGCAGATCTGCGCAGGTCAGAACCCGGAGAAAAAAACACAAGAACAAGGGTTTAGGGTTTAGGGGGTAGGGGTTAGGGTTTAGGGTAACATGCTACCCGACATGGTCCGGGCGTTTGCCTCTTGCGCTGCCAAGGCGCCCCAGGGCAGAGCGCGATTGTCAGAAGCCACACTGTGCCTTGGCAAAAGTTACTCCGTGTCATCGTGGTCTTCGGATAGTATGAGCACTTAAGTTGTTGGAACTTCGGTCTGAACCCACTTATGCAATTGCCCCGACAGCTCGACATCCAGCGGTGGAGTTGCGCGCGGCGCGTTGTGTGTGTTGTGGTTCTGATTGCTATCTTTGGGGCATGGGACTTGCTCACGAAACTTGAAGACCTGTGCCTGTTTGCCTCCTAGGACCCAAAAGCCTTAAACCCAGGCAACAGGTGCCTAAACCCTGAACCCTGAACCCTAAACCCTAAACCTTAAACCCTAAACCCTAAACCCTAAACCCTAAACCCTAAACCCTAAGCCTGCACCACCCTCAACCCATGCCTCCCCCTGCCGCGGTGCACATTCCACGAGGCTGGCTGCCATCGTGCACCGACTCGAATCCGAGGCAGGCTCTAGTAGCTAATAACTATAATTTCCCTTACCAGTATCTTAGGGGTACTTCGGAATAGTTTTTAACTTTTGGGCGCTATAATTCCGAAAAAAAGACAGCTAACATTTGAATTTTTGCTATGGTTCCAAGTTTAGTATAGGTATGGCTAGTACCCTAAAGCTTGAACCTTGACCACATTCTGTTGTTCAAAGGGGCTGTAGGCATAGGCTCCCTTATCAACGCCGTTAAGCAGAAAAGGGCACCCTTTGCTGCATTCGTAGATCTCCGGGTCAAGGGCTTACCTGCAGTCCCCGAGCCCAATCAATTAGTAGGTTATACATATATATATATATACACATATATTCACACATGTATCTGTTGACTATAGGTTACATATGTACATGTAGAATGATAATACTGATTAGTAGATAGAAGTATGTTGGTTTGCTAGATTCGATTCAAACCTGCCTGAACTACCGGCCCTAGGGAATATAGGCCCAAACCCCCGAAACCCCCCAAACTTCAAGGACCTCCAGAGCCCAAGATCTAAACACGAAAGCCACATGTCTTCCGGAACGCGAGACCCTAAACCCTAACTCCTAAACTTCCTTGTGGGGTCCTTTCTCTTCGAGCAGGCTTGTACTGAAAGTTGCCTACTTTGAACAGCCCTCATGTAGGGTTTAGGTTTGTGGATTCTGATGAACCCTAAAATTCGGTTCATGCACCCTGTACTACCATAGCCCCTATCAAATTAAGGTATATGAACCATAAATCCTAAACCCTAAGCCCTAAATCCTAAAGGTCCATGAACCATAAACACTTGTAGGGTTCATGAGTCTTATGGTTTCTGGGGCTGCAAGGGTGGGGGGAGTTGTCGGAGGTTTGCCCTGTCTACGTAGGGTGTTTGGGGCGTTTTCTGGAGCGGCTTAGGGAGCACATGAACCCTAAAAGGGTTTTTTCATGGTTTCATCTTTCCTAAACCCGAAGAGGGTTTTTTAATGGTTCATATTCCCTTAGCAGGGCTTATGGTAGTACAGGGTAGAATTAACCCCGATTTTAGGGTTCATTTGGTCTCCCAAGGTTGGGGAGCAAGCAGAACTTTCGTGGTTTACTTCGGAGATTCAATTGCTGATATTCCCTTCTGGTCCTGCAATTCTACTCGAATAACCCCCAAAGCCGTATTCGAATTATTCAGGCCTCGATATTACTTCGCAGATTCCGGCTCTCTTCAGCCCATGACCCGCAAGGACTACGAGTGGTGCGCAGCGCCCGACCCAGCCTCAGCTGCCACATCTACGCCCAGGTCACCGACCCTAAAGCCGGAACCCCCTCTTTGAAGCACTAAGCGCCGGAAGGCTTTTAGAAAAGCACCAGGGAGAGGGGTATAAGGGAGATGGGGATCGTCGGCCGTAGGTTTAGGAATCTTGGCCGCAACCCAAGGCCACCCTCCCAACAAATCCTGCCACGCCCAAGTCCTACAGACGCATTATTATTCATATTTGTATCAGATGCAATATTTTGTTGTTGTTCAATTAAGTTAGGATCGTTTCAGAATGAGGGCTTCATAGCTTATGGAACCCTTTACCAACAGAGGAGATCACGGGGCTCCCAACCATCCTCCGCCCCTTAGTAAGGACGGTTCTTCGTGCCCCCTAATTCAGGGTTTAGGGTTTAGGGTTTAGGGTTTAGGGTTTAGGGTTTAGGGTTTAGGGTTATAAATACCTTAGCTTTAAACCCATAACCCGACTTATAGCTACCCATGAACCTTCAAGTAGCACCTTCAGACCTGGAATAGAACCATCCACCGAGGTCGGGGATGCGAGCGGCTGCGCCAACGTGGCCCCATTCCCAAATCTTGTGCGAAAGGGTTGCGTGCAGCGCAGGTATTGTCGGTTTCTTCTTCCTTCTGGGCGGCATCGACTATCTAGTGTCACGCGGGCAGTGTTGCAGGATCTTTTTGGGATGAATCCTCTTCTTACCTAAGCCTGGAAAGGTCTCATCAACAGACCTCCAGCCACCCTGCACCAACATCAGAAGCCCTCAGATGCGGTTCGCTGCGGCTTGCGGTTCGGTTCGGTTCAGTTCGGGTGCCAAACCCCCAGCCCTCCCTCCAGCCCCTCCACTCCAGCCCCTCCAGCCCCTCCGGCCCCTCCAGCCCCTCCATCCAGCCCCTCCAGCCCCTGCATCCAGCCCCTCCAACCCCTCCAGCCCCTCCAGCCGCGAGGGGCCGGAGGGGCTGGAGGGGCTGTGCCAGTAGGGGCTGGGGCTGGAGGCTGGAGGCCTTGGCTTCAGGTTCGGTTCCATGGCAGTTCGTGTTTGTCGCGGTTTCGGCGGTTCACGGTTCACACGGTTCCTTCGCGCGTGCGGTTCCTGGCGGTTCGGTTCCGGTTTGCGGTTCGGTTCGCGGCTTTCCTGTAAACCCTAAAAGGTGTTTTGGAAGCGCTGCAAGTGGTCCGCCATGTGCTGGGGGCAAGGCGCGGCTTGAGATGATTGAGGGTTTAGGGCTTGGGTTTAGGGTTTAGGGTTTAGGGTTTAGGGTTTAGGGTTTAGGGTTTAGGGTTTAGGGTTTAGGGTTTAGGGTTTAGGGTTTAGGGTTTAGGGTTTAGGGTTTAGGGTTTAGGGTTTAGGGTTTAGGGTTTAGGTGTTAGGGTTTAGGGTTTAGGGTTTAGGGTTTAGGGTTTAGGGTTTAGGGTTTAGGGTTTAGGGTTTAGGGTTTAGGGTTTAGGGTTTAGGGTTTAGGGTTTAGGGTTTAGGGTTTAGGGTTTATATAGGGTTTAGGGTTTAGGGTTTAGGGCTTAGGGTTTAGGGTTTAGGGTTTAGGGTTTAGGGTTTAGGGTTTAACGTTTGGGCTTTAACGTTTAGGGTTTAACGTTTAGGGTTCAGGGTTCAGGGTTTCGGGTTTAGGGGAGTCTCCGATTAGTGAGGCTTTGTGCGAGGCAGGCAAAGAAGCTTCATACAGCTTGGTAGGCTTACTGAAATCACAGGTCTTTTGCGCATAACGACAGCTTCTCCCCGGTATCCATGGCCGTCAAGGCACCGGTGGAGCAATTTGCATCAGCTTGGCCGAAGTGCAGGAGGAGCAAGCACTGTTGCCAGGATCTCAGCCAGAAAGTAAAGTCGTAGAGTGTTGGTTATTGACATCGGAACTGCAGAAATGCTTTGCCAGGTTGACACTCGAGGTAGTAGCAGTATGCAAGATGCAGAATGCAACAGCTGTATCTGGTGAACTTATATACTGCAACAGATCTTTGGAAATCCACGAAAGTGCTGCCAAGCCTTGGCAGGCCGACTGTTGTGGTGAACATGAGTGGAGCGTCCGAAGAGGCCACCCTTTCGCGCAAGAGGATGTTTTGACCATGGATTGCGGAGACAGCTGTCGCTGAGTAGGACGGTGCTTGAAAAGGAGCCATGCTGAGGGAGCCAGAGTAGCTACGGCGCGCACTATGGTTATGTAGTTGGAGGTGCCTAACCGCGAGATATGCTGTGACATGGAGTGGTGTGGCAGCTTCGCCAGGATTTTGCAGCTACCTTGCAATCGCTGCGGGCCAGATGCTCGTCGCACGGTGCTTGCCCGCGTTTCCAAACTAGCCTAGAGCCCTACACACTGAAGAAACACCAGATTCTAAGAAGCCCTGAACCCTTACCCTAAACCTAAAACCCTAAACCGTAAACCCTTAAGCATATAAGCCTAAGGGCACCGCCCCGCTGAGTGGCGCAGCGGCTGAGGCCGGGTGTTGTGTGCCTGCGGGGGGTTTTGGGCTTACGGGTCTTTGTTCAGTGTTTGGGTTTGAGGAAATTATAGTGTTTACAGTGTGTGTTGCGAATTTTATTGGGGTTCTGGGTTCACGGTCCTTAGGGTTTTGGGGTTTTGGGTCTAGGGTAGCGTTGGAGGTGAGCTATGCATGCGAGACTGGGACGGGAGGATGCTGGCATCCATTGTCGTGCATGACAGCAGGTGCCTCTCCCATCTGCCATACGCATTCGAATGCCAGGATTCTGGCGCGACCCCCTCGATCATTTGTGCATCGGCAGGCCATTGGACATGGGGGTTTGCGAAAAAAAGGGACCCCTAATATAGTTCCCCAAAGGGGAGGATTCCCTTATAATAAGGACCTCAACAAGGTGCCCCTAATGTCGGCAACCCCCATATGTCACACCATGAGTCGGGGATTTCCGAAAATGGGGGGGGGTACCTCTTATGACACCCCAAAATCCCCCAAAAACTCCAACTAGTCCTTTTAAAGGAACCCCCAAAAAGGGTGCCCCTTTGTTCGGAACAATCCTTTCAAAGGAACCCCCCAAAAAGGGTGCCCCTTTGTTCGGAAATCCCCCCCCCCAAAATTTACGTATCGGCTTCCAGCCCATTGCCAAGCCAGCTCTGCCTCGAGATGTCCAGGCTTTGACCTGGCAAATCAAGCGCCCACGATCTTCGAAGAGCAGGCCAGACTCAGATCCAGCGCCAATTCTATATCCACATATAAATAGATCATATGCTACTATCTGAGAGACCACTTTTATTACGTTGCAGGAGGTCTTTTGTGGCGGAGATAAAACCTTATGTCATGCCTGACCAAAGCTATACCCTGAATCTTGAATCTAGAAGTCGTTCTGCAACAATGTGGGGTTGGGTGTTATTCCAGAGCGATACTCAAAGCGATAACCCTACGATACCCATTTGGCCACCCGAAGAGCTGGGCAAAGGCCCTGGCCCAGGTTGAGGGTTCGAGGTTTGGGATATGGATTTAGTTTATAGGTCCTGAAGAAAGGAACGGGTTGAGGAATTCAGGAGTTTTCGCGGTAGTGTTGCAGGTTTCGGGTCTCATATGCAGTAAAGCGACAGGTTTTCGTAGCAGCATTGAGCTAAAGTAACCCTAAACCCTAAACCCTAAACCCTAAACCCTAAACCCTAAACCCTAAACCCTAAACCCTAAACCCTAAACCCTAAACCCTAAACCCTAAAACCCTAAACCCTCAACCCTCAACCCTCAACCCTCAACCCTCAACCCTCAACCCTAAACTTAAAGCAAAAGGCCCCCCCCCCAAAAGCGATACCCCATGATTTTTTATTATCATTTACATAAGATTTTTTTGCGGCTGCTCATATGTACATATATATATATATATATATACATATATGTATATGCATATATATATATGTAATATGGTATATCATCTTTGGGCTTCTAAATTACGAACATCTTGAGCATGCTCTTCTGGGTCATGCGTCTTTCCCGGCGCAGGGCCTCGGGCACATGCGAAGCGCGCACCTGGAGGCCATGAAGTGCGGAGCCAGGGCGCCTTAAGTGCGAAGGCAAAAAGGAGGAGGAACCCTAAACCCTAAACCCTAAACCCTAAACGCCCTAAACCCTTAACCCAAACCCTAAACCCATTCACACACTGAACTCTGTTGAGTCTGTTGAGCGTTTCCGAATAGCAAAAGGACGAGCCTTGCACCCTCCCCCATCGCAACAGCCGCAACTTCTTCAGAGTTCTTTGGCGCAGGTGCTCGGTGAAGAGCTGCCATGGACGGAGATCGTGGCACCTTCCTCGGAGTTGCTGCACTTTTGCTCGTGCGAAGCAAGTTTCCGACAGCCTCAGACTCACTCGTGAATCTGTCGGCCAGCATTGACAGCTGACGGGGGCACGTTCTGGATCAAAGCTGACACTCTGATTCGGGAATGTCGTGTCCCATCGGAGCCAAGACTCCTGGCAAGGGATGTCAGCCTTCGCACACATCCTTACTCATGCCAAAAAAACAGCCATGGAGAAAGTAGCTGGAACCAAGTTCCCAAGTTCCGAGCTCCCGGCTTGAGGCCCCAAACACTGCCGAGGAGCACCTGAGGCCCCCGCGAGCGTGAGGGCTGTGAAGCGCATTGTTGAAAGGAATCCTGGCCTTGGCACCCCAGATCTCCTGGCAGGTGCTCTGATGGAGTCTGGGTCGCCGGCCGGGCTTTGGGGGCGCTGTCGGGCCACAAGTTCGGACCACGAAGGCGGCGTCTTGGGATTTTGGGTCGGTTTCTTTGGGGCTTCTTTTGCAAGCTCCGGATTGTGCAGGGCATCGATTTGTTCAGCATCCTTTTTCCTTGCCCTCTTGGGGTTTGATTTGTTCTCAGCTGTTCTCTTCACCCACATCTCTCCCCCTGGACCAGCGTCGACCCCACAAAGAACCTCGCAGCAAGAGAATCCCGAGAGTATCCCTGGAGCGCCCACAACCACGGAATCTCACACAGCCGGAGTGCCCGCCAGCAGAGGATCCCGCAGAGAATTTCTGCTCTCCCCAACATCCCATATCCCACACAGCATCTGCGGGGGGTGCCTTCAAGTTGCCTTGGTTTAGGTTGTGGCTGTTCCAAGTTAAGCCCAACTTTATGTTTTGGTGGCTCATTTTCATATGCCAAAATTCCGAAACCCTAAGTCAAGCAGTTTGAGGTGTGTGTTCAAGGTTTGGGAAGTTGCGTCTCATGGTGCCTTGCAGGTCCTATAAGAAAATAGCATGATACAGGGGGATATGAGGGGGTGGATAGTGGAAATTATGCAGGCTCCTGAACGTGAACGAAAGACCACATACAAGCCACGGCTTGCGAGTCTGAAAGAGCGCTCAGGGTTTAGGGGTTTTATATAGGTTTGTAAGTAAGTTCACCTATCCGTAGTGAAGGCACTGAGAACCCCACTTATAACCCCACTTGTAATTGCCCATGAACCTTCAAGTATAAGGTTCAGGGTATAGGGAACCCTAAACCCTAAACCCTAAACCCTAAACCCTAAACCCTTAAAGGGTTTAGGCATCTGAAAGCTGCGTGAGGCAAGGAGAGCGCGTGTGCCGAACAACTTTCCCCTGCGACCACCTGGCCTCTGTAGTTGCGTCTGGGACGACCAGGGTTTCAGGGTTTGAGGGTTGACGGTTTAGGGTTTGAGGGTTGAGGGTTGAGGGTTTAGGGTTTAGGTTTTAGGGTTTAGGGTTTAGGGTTTAGGGTTTAGGGTTTAGGGGCCTCTTAGGAGGCTTTTGGCTGGAAAAGTCTCGGACATTGGGTTTGAGTTGATTTGGGACGAGTCTTTGAGATGTTGGGCTTCAGCTTTCGAGTTTCGAAGGGGTCTTCGATGCAAGATGGAAGTCTTCAGTTTCAGATACATACATCTATAACGTTTACCATACATATGTACGGAATGTATAATATACACATATTATATAAATATCTGCACACACATGTTGTACATATGATAATATATATACATACACTGAATATTGCGGCAGTGAGGGGTCACCTGACCTCCCGGGCCAAGGTGCTGGAGACTGGATCCGCTGAGCAAGTGGCAGATCGCCTCGCCAATCTCACTCTCCAGTGAGCCACTGGCAGGATTAGGGTTTAGGGTTTAGGGTTCAGGGTTCAGGGTTTAGGGTTCAGGGGGTTTGTAAGGTTTATAGGGTGTATACGGTCTATAGGGTTGATAGGGTTTTGGGTTTACAGGGTATTTTGGGTATCCTGAACCGTGGCTGAATTCGATTTTAGTTAGACTCCAGATAGCCTGAGCTGGGAGTCATGGCATAGCCACAGCTTTGCACATTCACAAGTATTCAGCCTTCGACCCTCTAGCAGCAGGCTTTGTCGAATCCCAGCTGATGAGGGCAATCTGCCATGCGAACTCCTCGGCTCCAGAATGAGAGTAGAATGCAAGTAGATGGACACTGCCGGAGCAGTGAAGATTAGATATGCTTGCTGCGGCAAGCGCTGCTGGACTCCTCCACAGGGCACCAGTTTTCAATCCCCTCCTCTGCTAGAGATTCGCAAAGAAGAGCTGCCGTCCCTGTGCAGCGTTCCACAGCCTGCTAGCTCTGCCTGATGATAGCTTGGGGTGGGCAGTGACCAAACAGCTCGCAAAGCGACTTGGGCAAAAGGGCCGCACATCTTCAAATCTTCTGCGCCACCCTCAACCCTAAACTCCTAAACCCTAAACCCAGGGACTCTGCAAGGCCATGGGCTTGTGGATGTCAAGTCACGCCCGCAGCTGATGCTTTCTGCACATGGCAGACACGGGCAGTGAACAGCTGACACGCCGCAAGCCGGGATCACCGGAAGTAAGGGGCCACTTACTGGGTTCTCACACCAGGAACACAACTTGATGCGCCTGCTGCTTCATGGACGGCGATGAGAATGCCGGGCTTGTTGACGAGGCTTCCCTGTCCAAAACTCGCCCTTTAGATTCCGACAGGGTTCCCACCTGCAAAACTCATCAATCCTGAAGTTTTACCCCCTCCCCCAATATGAACCTTTTCCTGAGCGTCTCTATTGTTATGTTAGAGTGTCTGGGGAGTATTTAATCTTAGGGGGTGGGTGGGGTGTAATACAGGGATTGCATAGCTGCGGGGGCTCCTGGTCTGAAGCAACAACGCGCCCATGGCACGAGGAGCGCGAGCCCGCGACCTCCTCACAGCCGACATGCTGGAGGAGACGAATGCAGGGATTGGGGTTTAGGGTTTTGGGTTTTGGGTTTAGGGTTTTGGGTTTTGGGTTTAGGGTTTGGGGTTTAGGGCTTTTCAGGATTCAGGGGTTCAGGGGTTTAGGGCTTGCAGTCCTTCCTTTGGCCTGCGGAGAGGCTGTTGCAAGACACCTGTGAGAGTGTAATACCCCTTGAGTGCGGAATAGTGTTCATTCATGCTCCCTCCTCCTCCTCCTTTCCCGCATTCAGTTCGCATTCCATACTGAAATGGTATCGAGCCTTCTAGTACAGCACAATCCCCAACCGACAAATCCAAGGGCATCAGAACCGCTGGTGAAAGCCCCCACCAGCTCCAGGATCCACAGTCTGAAGCAACTGGCTCAGGGGACTGTTTAGGGTTTAGGGTTTAAGGTTTAGGGTTTAGGGTTTAGGGTTCATGCTTTAGGGTTTAGGGTTTAGGGTTTAGGGTTTAGGGTTTAGGGTTTAGGGTTTAGGGTTCTACACCCACTCAACAGCGAGCAGCAGAGCAAACCCTGAATCCCGTGACCCTACTTCAACAGTCCTAAATCCCCAAGCCCCGAAGCCTAAATCCCGAAACCTTAATCGTAAGGGTTTAGGGTTTAGGGCCGCGTAAACCCCAAACCCCAAACCTTGAAAGGAGGTTTAGATTCTGTCGGCTCACCGCGCTGGCGCTGACCTCTGCAGCCCTGTTGGTCGGGGCCTGAAGATTTCAGATTACAGGGTTTAAAGGGTTTACAGGGTTTGTAGGGTTTATAGGGTCTTTGAGGGTTTAAGGGTTGATAGTGTTTTTTCAGGGTCTGAAGGGTTTATAGGTTTTGTTGAAGGGTTTAGGGTTTGTAGGGTGTGCAGGATTTAGAGGGTTTCGAAGGGTTTTTAAAGGGTTTACAGGGTTTGCAAGGTTTGGGTGCTCGAGAGCGTGCTTGCTGCTTCTTCTGGAAGCAAGTAAGACTAAGATCGTGGTCATGTAAGGGGCCTATAAGTATGTAGCACACCTGGTGCCGTGATTGCATGCTAAGAGCCAGAAAGCTGCGAGGACAAGCACAGGTAAAGAACCCTAACACCATCGAAGGAACTCCAAAGACCCGAAAACCCTAAACCCTAAGCCCTTTCAGCCCCTCACAAGGTTGAAGCCCTGGGCCCTACTAAATATACTCCCTAAACCCTAAACCCTACACTCTAAACCCTATAGAAGCCCTAAACCCTAAACCCTAAACCCTAAGCCCTAAGCCCTAAGCCCTAAGCCCTAAGCCCTAAGCCCTAAGCCCTAAGCCCTAAGCCCTAACCCTAAATGTAAGCAAGCCCTGACCTTCGAGGCTCTGGCGGCGGTGGAAGGTTCCCCCCTCCGGCGGTTGTGGGAGTGAGTGCCCAAGAGCCCTGCGAGTTGTGGACCCTGAGCCCTAAGTAAGCATAAGTAGCCCTTAGCAACCCTAAGACACCTAAACATCCCTTAATAACCCGAAGCAAGCCTAGGTAGCCCTAAGTAGTAGGCCTAAGCAACCCTAAGTAGCCCTAAACCCTACATCTAGCCCTAACCCTCAACCAGCGAGAGCTGGGGCATCATATCCGAAATCCTACTTACAGAGGGCTTGGGGTTGGTGTTGGTTACAGCATGGAGCCTTTTGAACCCTGTGATGCCCATAGTTTTGTGCTACACCTCTCGTCACAAAGAAAGAGTAGCACCATGTTGGTGCTAACTGGGCCTTTGCAGCAAGGCTTACCGGGATCTTTATTAAAATTAGGAAACAGGGAGGATTCAAGATTCAAGTGACCTTACCAAACCCCCAAACACGCAAGCCCTGGACTGTAGACCTCAACCCCTCAACCCTAACCCTCCACCCTCAACCCTCAACCCGCAACCCTAAACCCTAAACCCTAAACCCATCCCGCGCATGAAACCTCCGTGTGTCCCAGTGGCGGACGCTCCTCTCTCCAGGCTGAGTAACCTCGAGGATGTGGTGCAGCTTGCAGACAAAGGTGCCCCTCCGAACTACAGGCGCCCTGTGTTTGCAGTGTATAGTCTAGGGTTTCGGGTTTAGGGTTTAGGGTTTAGGGTTTAGGGTTTGGGGCGTCTTCGGAGTGCCCCCAGCCCCCCCAGAGTGCCCCAAAATAGCTTGCATACCCGGTTTCTAGCAAGTCTTTTGGGGTACTTTGTGTTGAGGAAGTGTACTTCAAGATTGCGGCTTGTACCACTGGGAAGGGTGAAGAGAGAGGAAGACCGCTCCAGAAGCCATGAAGCTCTACCTACAACCCATATTTCCTTACGAAAAGGGTAAACAACCTGATAACCAAGTTGCATTCCCACCATTTAGGATGCGGTGTATAGATTTCTCTGCAGGTGGCCCGGATAGCCAGGAAGGGCTCTAGGGGACTTAGCAAAACTAGGTGGGCCCTCTGGATTTTTTACATGTCCCCTTACCGGGTTTAAGAGGATCATATTCAGGAAGATTTAACCCAAAACCCTAAACCCAAAACCCAAAACCCTAAGCCCAAAACCCTAAACGTTTCGCTCATAACGCTTGTAGCAGTGTACTCGTGTGCAGGGGCGGCCAGGCACTCGACCCGAAAGCCGGCTCGGACCGCCCCTGCTTTGCTTGGCTTTAAGGCGTTGGGGTTCAGGGTTTGGGGTTTGGAGTTTGGGGTTTAGGGTTTAGGGTTTGGGGTTTGGTGTTTAGGGTTTAGGGTTTGGGGTTTAGGGTTTAGGGTTTGGGTTTTAGGGTTTAGGGTTTGGGGTTTAGAGTTTTACGATTCCGTTCGAGTCTGGGGTTTTAAGACTCGGTGGGGGGGGCGCGTGCTTTGACTCTACGCCAGTGTCTGGGGTTCAGGTCCGGAGTTGATTGAGCGAATGAGCTGACATGCACTGTGGCTCCCCGAAAGGGGCAGAGGACAACCCTTTCCATAGCTACACCCTCATTCTGGAGAGAACTCTGTAACATCAGGGCTTCCCATGGCATGCGAGGACATGGGCGTCTGTGTTGGCCACGTCATCTCCGCAGGGGCTTGGGCGGCTGCTGCGGCGCTTAAGGCTTTCTAGCCTTGTGCTTGTGGCTATGGTTCTCAGCATTAACCATGGAGTGGGTTTTCGGGTTTTGGGCTGCTACATGCCTGAATGTCCATGGACTCAGTCCATGTGCCTTACCCAACACAAACTCTAGAAGCCAATCAAGGAGAAAGACGGCTTTGTCTATGCAGCCCCAGCACTTCCTGTCCTGGTTGGGACATCCTTGCAAGTGCCTTCTGGACCGTTGGCGCCAAGAGCTGGATGTTCTGAACAGCTATGCTTCATGGGTTCCCCTGCTATCCCCCCCTCTATACACCACCCCCCCGCCAGGTTCCCCCTTCACAAGTAAGGCTATCTAGGGAAGCCAGATTAAGGATTTTTCAGGGGGGAATGTAGGGGGGGGAGGGGGGTGTAGGGAAACCCACGCTATGCTGTGCAGGTGACCAGCGCCATGGTAGAGTGCGATCTCAGGAGCTACGTCGACGGCGCAAAGATTAGCGGCGTGGCTGCAAGAGAATACGTTACCTGCCGCGTTTTTGCACTGGTTCAGGGTTCAGGGTTTAGGCTAAGGGTTTAGGGTTTATAGGGTTTAGGGTCAAGGGTTTAGTGATGTACCCAAACAACCTCCAAGCCCAAGCTCCGCAACAAGATCAGAGGCATGGCCCGAAGAATGAAGTAAAGCTTGTGCCTAGACGTGCCAATCTTTCGCAGATGCAACAAGGACCCAGGAGGTTTGGATACGTTGCAGACATCAATCCCTGGACCTACTGTGCTATACTGGGGGGGGGGGGGGGGGCGGGGGGTTTCCCGAAATTGGGGGTGCCTTATTGGGGGTGCCCCTTATTGTAAGGGAATCCTACTACTTGGGGTACTATTTTCGGGGTCCCTTATTTTCGTAAACCCTCATTTTAGGGTTTAGGGTTTGTTGTTTAGGGCTTAGGGTGTAGTATAGCGCCCACAGGAAGGGCATGTACAAAAGTTATGTCAGTGTTGGTTCTACGGGAAACTATTCAGCAAGCCGTCTCGTTTCTTTGGATCCGCCCTAAACCCTAAACCCTAAACATCTGAGGCTCGCTGGGCATAGGATTCAGAAAGAAGCCAGCGAAGGGCCCCAGAGAGATCCAGACGGCTGGTTCTTCGGGTTTCTGATGTTTTGGGATGAACTGGGGCTTGAGGGTGTATAGGGTTTATAGGGTTTATAGGGCTTTAGGGTTTATAGGGTTTCTAGGGTTTATAGGGATTATAGGGTTTTGGCGCTTTAGGGATTTAGGGCTTGTAGGTTTGTAAGGTTTTGGGGTTTGTAGGCTTTTGGGGCTTTAAGGTTTACAGAGTTTGCGGTTTTGGTTTGAGCTTCAGGTGTCAGGGTCAGGTTGGAAGGTTCAGGTGTGAGGCTTGAGGTAATCCTGGTGTGAGGTTTGGTGGGTTAAAGTTGCCAGGCCTTCGGGAATCCTCAAGGCTTCCCAACGATCTAAGAAATATTCAACATACCCCTTGGGCATACCCCTTGAAGAACTTAAGGGGTATGGTAAAATCCTTCCTTATATTCTCCTTTCATGGGTGCCTAAACCCTAAACCCTAAACCCTAAATAAGGGTTATAGGTTTGGAGTGTGCTGAATTCTTCTTAGAAACGGCTGTACTTGGCTGTATGAGCACAGGGAGGTGGCAAGAGGTCCTTGTCCGGAGTAAGCGGCATTCTCGAGTCCTCAGGGAGGCGCCGTTTTAGGGTTTAGGGTTTAGGGCTTAGGGTTTAGGGTTTAGGGTTCAGGGCTTAGGGTTTAGGGTTTAGGGTTTTTTGGATTGAGGGGGATAGGGCGCCGCAAAGCACAAAACCCAAGCCCCTCACACGCAGACTCCGGACACACAAAGCCGAAACAACCCTGCAACCCCACAGCGAAAACTCGCACCTCCATCCCCAACAGGGAGCTTCGGGCCCTGTTGGAACCAAAAAGATGCTAAGCTCTTAACTCTTACCCTAAACCCTAAACCCTAAACCTTAAACCCTAAACCTTAAACCCTAAACCCTAGACCCTAAACATGCAAACCCTTTACGACTCGACACCTGGTGCCTCTGTAAACCCTGGAAGCACCAAGCCACCGCCGACCTCAGATCGCGCTCGATCCGTCCCTCCGGGGCCCGCTGGGCACCTGGCCTCCAGGGACTTGTAAATTAAGATGATCCCGTAATATATATATATATATACATATATATAGTGATGCAATCAATAAAACAGAAGGACATAGCAACATCAGAATGCTTTTTTTAATATAGGAATGAAGCACAATGCAGATGGCAGTAGTTCTATGTTCAACTGATAACATGATATTGGTTCCCCAGCAGTTGATCTCGTGCTCCCGCACCAGTCCCGCTTCGTGTCCCCGACACGGTGCCACTAAACCCTAAGTCCTAAACCCTAATTCCGAAACTCTAAACCCTACACAGTGAAAGACACAAAAGCGATGACTCTTTGGGATCTACGAACCTACGCTGTTGCAGAATTTCAACCTTGTCCCCCCCCCCCCCCCCCCAGTTTGCCCAAAGAATGAGGCTTTGATATTTTATGTGTTCGAGTTTTTGTGCACTGAGGATGTGTGCTCGGAGCGTTTTGGGCTTTATCCGCGATCTCGCCTCTGTAGGAACGCCTGGGCCTCGGCTGCTTCCCTACAGAGCAGGTGGCGTGTCAAGGGCAGTTAGAAGGAGGGTGGAAAATCACGTAACCCATATCGTTACCTTAGTTCAGTTAGTCATAACCCTACTTGGAACTGCTCATGAACCGTCAGCTAGTAAGACTGATAAACCCTAAACCCTCAACCCCCTGCAATAATGGCGCGATTAAATACTTGTTCATGTGGTGGGTTCGCAAGGCACCTTGAGACATCGGCAGACTACTGCGGGAAGGACCGCATCGCTCGGGCTCTCAGTGCCAGCAAATGGGCTTAGGCGGCTTAGGGAACTTCAGCTTCAGCACGATTACTGTTGTTTATCACACTAGACGTCGCAGAAAGGGATTGTTGCACTCATTGGCACCCAGAACTTTAAGAAGTTTAGACGTGTGTGTGTGTGTCTGCATGTTTGGAATGCAAGAAATTCAACGGCTCAGAGTCTTGAATGTTGGCGTGCGGGGACCAGCCTGCAGTTGCCTGCAACTGCAAGCCATCGCTAGTCCTCGAAGATGGCCTGATGGGTTTAGGGTTTAGGGTTTAGGGTGCCAGTAGATTAGTGGGTGCCACCAGGTAGACCAGGGCGAGGGCTGCGTAGCTCGCTAAGGACGACATCAAATGCGCGTCTGCTGTCACGAACGCTGTCGCGGGCTGAGCGCGAGCAATTTTGTGTGCATGAAACTCAAACCCGGACGTGTAGCCAGCACTGCTGCTTGTCCAGGTGAGGAACGCCGCACACTTCTCACGGTTCGCCAGCGAGCTGGATGCGTTTTGCCCGCAGGCGCTGTGCAGTACACAGCCTTTTCGAGGGGTGTAAATGCCTAACGGGTTTCGCGTTCCGGGCTTTGCTTTCCTGAATAGGTGTGTATAAGTGCATCGGGTTTTCTCAGTCTTTAAGCTATGGGAACTGGAGGTTGATCCAAGTTGTTGGCCCTTTTGGTACCCTAAACTATGAGGGATGTATGGTAGCATATTTAATAGACACCCTACAAGGGCCGTTTAGGGTTTTAGGGTTGAGGGTTCAGGGTTCAGGGTGTAACCCCAACCGCAAGGATAGACCTGAGAGCCCCAATCAGCACCCAACTAGTCAAACGCCATGATTTCTCAGGCGGCTGCGCGATGAGTTTTTTTATGTCCGGCTGTCTTGCATACCTGCAGGCTGCTGCAGACTTGCGCGTTTTTGCATGCCGTGCCGCGCTGCAGGACTCTGGGCTGCGGAACTTCTTCCTCTGCGCCAATCGTATTGAAGGCGGGTCCTCCTACAAAACAAGAGTTTAAGTATTCAAGTGTATAGTATATGGGAGGATTGAGTGCTTGTGCCAGGAATGGGCTGGGCCATCGATGCCATGTGCAAGCCTGAGAGGGGGTCTATGGCTCCACCCACTGTGCCGGTCACGACTTTGGTGAGAAGCCTAAACCCTAAACCCTAAACCCTAAACCCTAAATCCTAAACCCTAAACCCTAAACCCTAAACCATGCCGCAAGCAGGAAACTCTAAGCCCCTATCAAACTGTGAAAGTTCGGGCTTCCAACCACCGCACCTCCAGGCTCGGCGCCATCTCTGGTGCAGCACGAACTTGCGCCGGGATCTCGGCCAATGCAATAACCCTAAGGCTCTAAGGACTCTTGTTTTAAGGCTTTTAGGGCCCAAAGGCCTTCTTTCATAAAGTTTTTTGGGCTATGTTGAGCCTAAGGGTAAGGGTTGGAAGGTTAGGGCTTTACAAGTACCGGCTTCTACCTTTTTCTGCCTTCTCGGGTTTCCGCCGGGTTTTCGACATGGGTCTTAGGCTTCGGGAGTGACAAGCCTGTTGTGGCTCGAAACCCCTCAGCCTTTGATCGATGCTGGCGCTCAACCCTGAACCCCTGCTAGTCAAGACCCGTATTTGTACGGCGAACTAGTATGTTGATCAAAAAATGGCATGCTGCGGCACCTAAGACCATCACACAACTGCCTCAAACGAGTCCTTTCCACTGGTGGTGGTGGTGGTGATGATGATGGCGATGATGGCGATGATGGCGATGATGATGATGATGATGATGATGATGATGATGATGATGATGATGATGTCGATGATGACGATGATGATGATGATAGCGATGATAGCGATGTTGATGATCCAGGTGTTTGGTGCTTGCGCGTGCAGACACCAAGACATTGCCTGCACGCACAAGAACAGGATGAAGATGATCCAAAATGGTTGGGGTCCACCTTTCCGCCAGACACAACAGGAATGGTGTAACAAAATGAAAGGAAGGGTTGTATGCGCCGGTCACAAAGACGCGCACACACACACATGTAGACATGCTCGCACTAGTTTACACCCCACACCGCACCACACCAAACAGACAACGCTTGACGTCTGCCGCAGGGTGCCACGGCCGCTGATCTTCCGCAGCCTCCAGCCCAATATGGTTCCTGCGTCGGGGAGGTGCTGGGCGCTGCGGGATACGTGGGACACTCAGAGTGCAGTGATTAAATTGTGGCTGGCAGAGGAATCACAGTATGCTGTGTTTTAGAGTGGGTATGAATGGGTCAAATTTGCATGTCTGTAATAACAAGTTTGTAGATGTGTTTGCCTGCCGCTTCTTGCTGTGCAGCACACGTGTTTTTTGCGACTTGGCTCCTGAAAAGTTGCTGTTATGTCTTCGTGCAACAAACGCAGCAGATCGGCCCCTGATAGACTACTCCAGGTTCATGATTCTTGTCGCCAGGCTCGAATCCAGGGGCATCAGATGAGCATCACCGGTTTGCCCTAAACCCTAAACCCTAAACCCTAAACCCTAAACCCTAAACCCTAAACCCTAAACCCTAAACCCTAAACTGCCCAGAGCAAACCACGGACTTGCTGAGGCAATGCTTTGCATGTGTCTGTAGCTGCGTTGGACTGTGCAAACAGTTTCCGACCTGCAGTCTTCGCATGAGAAACAGTCCCTGCAGGATCCCGCCAAAATCAGGTGTAAATAAATCTCCTGCAGTAGCCACTCGCCCTGACTCATCTGCTGGCCGAGCACGAAGCTGCTGCTTTGCCCAAAACGTGGGTGAAAGATTTTCGGGTTCGGGTTTTGACTCGCAGGTTGCATGTTGAAGGCGCCCGTTGGCACCACAGGCCATGAGAAAGCAACAGCGGTCGACACGAATCGGGAAAATGCATGTCGGCTTCGGGAAAACACCGAGAGCATCGACCCAGAAAGAAGACACCCCACCCCCCCCCCCCCACCAGCCCCGCGCAAAATGTGCCGAGATTGCGGCTGCGGGCTTCAACACCTACAACGCCGCGAATTTCTCCTGCCTTGGGGCGCTGGACTGGGAGTCGGGTCGCAGTCTAAAAGAGGGGTCTGTTGCACCTGAATAGACTGGAGTTTGGGCAGTTTATTTTTCGTTCTAGCTTTAATCTATTTGCCTGCGAATGATCCGGCAGTTTTGGGGTTTCGCACTAAAACCCCAGACCTCTGGGATTGGATCTTATTCAGGAACGGGTCCACTTTGAAATATCCGGAACCCACTACTGCACCGCTGCAGCGATCTGCTCCAAACGGTCTGAGGCTCCGTGTTCACTAAGAACGTGTGATTGGAAAAGGTATGCACCATGCACCCTGAGAAGATGTGCCACAGCACCCGGGTCACGGAAAGATGGGTGAGCAGTTAGTAGGAGGTGGATGCGCGCTGTGTGCTCGGAGCCATGACCAGGACCCAGAACGTAGAAAGAAGCACAGATGCATCGTCTCCGCGACCCTTTTTTTCGATTTTTCAAGAGATCAGCATGCGCAATGCGGTCGTGCGTTCGGCGCCCACGGCAAGCTCAGAGGATGCTGAGCGGTATAGAAATCCGCCGACGACGACGATAAGGAGGAGCCTCACGCCGATGCGATGCGGTGAAACGGTACGAAAGCCCAGCCTTGTAAACGTTGACAGAACATGACGTGGGATTCTCTTAGGTGCCCTCTTGTTGCCCCTCTTGAAGTAGGAGTCGGTTGTATATTAAGCTTACCTCCGAAGGGTTTAGGGTTTAGGGTTTAGGGTTTAGGGTTTAGGGTTTAGGGTTTAGGGTTTAGGGTTTAGGGTGTGCGAACATGACAAAGAATATGCTGGTCGTGAGTCAATACGGGTGCAACAAACGTCGACAAATGGCTTAGCTCTGCAATCTGATGCTCTGCTCCGTACTCCACACGCATGCTGCAGTTCAATGTTAAAAGTCTCAGGGTTTCAGCTTGTGGGTTTAGGGCAAATATAGAAAACCAAACAGCGACACGATCTGCTGTTGTGATGCAATAGATGCCCTTGTTTGGTTTGTCCTGGTCTGTGGCCACGGGATGCATAAACTCAACCTGTGTTCAGTTCAACCCTAAACCCTAAACTCCTAAACTCCTAAACCCTAAACCCTAAACAGCAGGTCTAGGCATGTGGATTGTCGCGCGTCAGGAGCCAGAAAAGATTGCGAAGTTGACGCACTTCGAGAAGGTCCCAAGTGTTGGGCAAGCTACTTGTGAACTTAATCCCTTTCCTCTTTTTACTTACAAGCCCCGTCAAATCAAACCACAAAGGTCACCCTTTTCATTCCTAGGTTACTCTTGGCCCTAAACCCTATACCCAATACCCCAAACCCTAAACCCTAAACCCTAAACCTTGCGTTTAGCAGGGCACGTAAGGTCAAGCTCTGGTCTGCTTTCGGGTTTTAGGGCCGCTTGACCTGTTCGGGAGCTGCGGTCTCATGTCCGTTCCCCCCCATGCAAAGGAGCCGAAAATCTAATCTTTGTGGTAATTTACTGTAACTTTAGATCCTTACCTTTTTTGGGTTTATTGGGTTTCTTATTCAGGCAGCTAAAAGTTTAATTTATAGCTACCCTCCTGAGTGCAGCCAAGTAATGTTCTTTGGTCTACAAAGCCTAGCATCACCTGCTTGTGCGATAGCTACAGAGGGTACTATACCCTGTAACCCCCTAAACAGGCCCTTTCTAGGGTTGATTGTGGGGGTTTTTTGGGCCCAACAGCCCATCCTGGTCAGGGGCCCAGTAGACCCCGGAGGAAAGGATCAACGCGCAATGCGCGCAGCTCTCCGCCTCTTCAGCGCGCCAGTTCGCCATCGCGGCGGCCAAGGCCTGAAAAATATGGGGTTTTGGGGTTTGGGTTTCCTTCTGGGCAGTTACCTAACTTTACGAGCACGTATCATCGTGGCTCGCCAAAGCGGAAGCCCTAATTTGGGGAACCACACGGCCAGTCTTCTCAATTAGGGTCCCGAGAGAGATACACTGAGTTTAGGACTTAGGGTTGATAAGGGGGTTTACGACAATCTCCTGGGAGCCCCCCAAAAAAAGACCCCCAAGTAGTAGGATTCCCTTAGAATACCGACGTAAGGATTAGCGTGCCCTGAGTGTGAAGTGAAGCTTGGACCCGGAGTGCGTGCTCTTTGTATCTTCTTGGGCCTGAGCTTGAGTGTTCAAAGGACCTTGGCCCCCGAGGTGTACGCGCAGATATTCGACATTTCCTTCCTCTTGCTGTCATGCGATCGTTCCTCAAACCACATGCAAGCCGCACAGGGAAAGCCCTGAAATGAACCTGGACTCAAGAATCCTACACCCCCCTTGAGAATCATTTTTTCTTATTATTGTTTATATAAGAGGATGTTAGAAATCTTATTTTCATTAAGGTTCTAAGGGGAGTATAGACTCCCTCACTGGCAAGGCCAGCGAGGCGGCGGGTCATTGCTCGAGCATCACCAGCATCCAAAAGGCACACTGGGCCCGAAACCCTATTAGGGTTTAGGGTTTAGGGTTTAGGGTTTAGGGTTTAGGGTTTAGGGTGTAGGGTGTAGGGTGTAGGGTTTAGGGTTTAGGGTTTAGGGTTTAGATGCCCACAAGCGAGGAAGCCTGGGCCGTCGCTGAATTGACAGGCCGTTTCGGAGTCCATACGCCGAGGAGTAAAGTTTCCAGAAGCATGTGACACTGTTAGCCGTGTCAAGAACCCTCACGCACCCCAATGGCAAAAGCCAAGGCCATGACGCACAAGCCTTTGCCCCGTGCACCTTATTGGTAGCAGGCCTGTTTTTCTACAACTGATTTCCGACCGCTGCTGCTGTTGAAACGCCCTGATGCAAAACCGATCATCAGATCCTTGTCTGCGTTCATAAACCTCCTGATACCCTTAAGTAACTCCAGACCTCCTAAACCCCTCAACCCCCTTTAAGCTTCGATTCTTCTTCCAAGCCCTAAACTCTTATCCATTAAGGCCATGATTTTACCCTAAGCCCCCAAACCCTAGCCTGAACCCTAGGCCCTTCAACCCTAAACCATGTAAACCCTGAGCCCGAAACCTCAACCGGGCCTGAAGAGGAAGGGCGATGCGGCCGCACACTGGCCCTGGGTTTAGCAGCCTTGGCCGGTGCTGCCGAGGCTTGGCTTCGGGCTTTTGGGGGGCGTAAGGGGCGTTAAGGGGTTTGAGGGTTTTTTGTTCAGGAAGCTTCAGGTGATTTTTGGCTGTTTCGGAGATGTCTGGAGGTTGAGGGAGTTTTTTGCGGATTTTGGGCTTTATGGAGTGTCGGAGGAGTTCTGGGCCCTGAAGCCTCAGGACAGTCTCATGAGGGTTTAGGTGCCCTATTCAGTTTGTCAGTTGTCATTGTCATTCTTGTTCTTGTAGAAAGAGACACTCTCTATCATATGACTACTCTCTCTAATTAACTTTCATGGTTCTTTATTGTAATGTGTTCCATATTCACTCTCTAGCATATTCTCCTCCTTACGATTATTAGTCTTATTATTCTTACTAATATTGTTTATTTCATATTGTTGTGTGTTCCCTAAACCCTAAACCCAAAACCCTAAACCCAAAACTCTAAACCCTAAACCCTAAACCCTAAACCCTAAACCCTAAACCCTAAACCCATCATACGCTGGAAAAATCAACATACCGCTTCCAGGGAGCCGGGTTCATGCGGCGAGAGTGTTTGGAGACGGCTCCCTGCTGCCAGTCCCGGGTAGGCGGGCGGGCTTCGGCCTGGGGCTTAGGGTTTTAGGGTTTTAGGGTTTAGGGTTTAGGGTTTAGGGTTTAGGGTTTAGGGTTTAGGGTTTAGGGATCAGGGTTTTAGGGTTTTAGGGTTTAGGGCTTAGGGTTTAGGGTTTAGGGTTCGGTGGCTCTTCAAAAGGATCTGCGCTTGCCGAAGCTCTTGAATGTGCATCTTCGAACTTCTATGTCTTAGCATGGCTGCGCAGTGAGACCAACTATAGACTGGACCTCGGCTCGACAGGCAGCCCGTTTGAGTTTGAGTGCAACTGCGGGGCGCTTGGCTGTGTCAACTTGGAATCATCTGCAGTTGCATGGAGTCTACACTACAGCTCGAAGAGACAGCGACGACAGAAGTTCTTGGCGGACCCTGACTTCTTGCGTGCTCGCATGTTCTGAGGCACGTCGCAGAAGCTTCTGGACAGGGTGAGGGCGGACGACCCAGGGGAGGGGCATTTGCAGGGCTCCTGCTGATGCTTGCAGCATGGGGTTTGGGGTGTAGGCGGCCTTTGTTTCGCAAATGATGTGGCCATTTCAAAAGTGGCGTAAGCCTCTCGTCCCTACGTGGAAACTCTTGGCCACGTGAGAGCTCGCAGCTTCTTCTGATCTATGGAACCAGGCCTCCTGTTAAGAGTGGATTTTGAGAGGCAAATTATTTTGAGAATAGGACAGACAGTTGCTTGGTTCGAGGAACTGCGTAGGGAAGCAAAGCTGCTACAACTATGTGGACCTGACCCTAAGAGCTTCAGTCTACACACCGTGGCTTATGCCGTAGAACCGCAGAGTTTTCGT